CATATCTTAGGTCCGGGTCATCTGAAGGAACGGCACCTCTGACAGTGCAGTTTTGGGCCTGAGCGTCAGCCTAGACTGTGAGCCCAAGTCACAGTGCGAGGGCTTGAATTCACTAACCTCTGCCCTGGAGATGGGAGCTGCTACCAGCTGATACAGACCGAATACCTAGCACGGTAACATAGCAATGCGTCTTCAATCAGAAGAGACGATAAACCAAACAGGCAAGACTATAAAAAGGGGCAGCTGGAATCTCAGCCTTTATACACACGGATAATGAATGCGAGAGCGAGGAAATCATGTTAAATTTATATCAGACATTGGTCAGGCTGTACTGTGAGTATTGAATCCAGGCTTGTTGAACTATTTCCGCTAACTATTACCAGTTGCTGCAGGTCAGCCCGTAACTAAATTTAAAAGAGAATTGGATAAATGCTTCAGGAAAAATTGAGATGGGGGAAGTAATTAGCTCCAATAGGGATGCTAGCAGCTGCACAGACACAAAAGGCAGTATTTCTCCCTGGTAAACTTTCTATGAATCTATCGTTGCCCGCTCTGCTTCACAAGTAACTTTTACTGTAACACGCATATTTTGTAGGCAAACGCAGCAGTCAATTTGCACCCGGCAACGTCCCACAAACAGCCACGAAGCGAATGAATGGGCAATAAATAAGTAAAAAGCTGCTTTTCTGCATCAGTGAGTTGCTTAAGTTAGCTCGCTCCCTGTTGTTGGCTTCTAACCCAGTCTGCTTCCTTGACACAACCGAAGAACTCAAGCCAATCTTTGCCTAGACCCTCAGCTCTGCATTTGACAGCTCTTGGTTCCCAGATGACTCCTCCGAACTTCTCTCTCTCTCTCTCTCTCTCTCTCTCTCCCCCCGCCCCAATTCACAGGCGCTCTCTTGCCTGGCTGCATCCAGGCTCCCAAATGCTTCCATTGCAGTCACGATGCAAGTCCCCAGAGGTAGCCTGCAGACTCTGCACCGATGCTCCAATCTCCCTAATTAAGTACTTCCACAGATCCCTGGATGTGCAGCCAAAGCTCCTTAATGACTGTTCCACGCCAGCCATTCCAGGCTCACCTCCCCCTACGCCCTCCCTCACTCCACTCACATTAAAGTGTAGCATCAATATTGTTAGTCTCCAGCAGGGAAGCAGAGCAGAATCAACCATCCCACAGTCCCTTCGCCTCGCACTCCTCCCTTGCTTCCTTCAAGAGTTGTCTCAAGACCCTCCTCTTTGACTGCGCCTTCAGTCACCCTCCCAGCCACACTTTCCCTGTTCTCCACCCTCCTGATCCTAACCTGATCCTAAGCCCCAGCTCGGGTGCAAATCCTTGACTGTCCAGTGCCTTGGAACATCTTCCCATTTGATAGGCTCTGTGTAAATGTAATTTGTTGTTGTGGGTATGAGCCCTCACATCGGGACTTTGAGCTCAACGTCTACTGTGCAAGGCAGGAACAGTGCTGCATGGTCAAAGGTACCGGCCTTGGGATGAGATTGTAAACCCATGTTCCTGTCTGCCTCTTTAGGTGGACATTAAACATTTCACGGCACTGATCCTCCTGCTGTTTTGGCTAACAATTCCTGCATCTCCAAATAAGACTGGTCATTCTATTTGTGGGATATTGCTGCACGCAAATTGGCTGCAGGGTTGGCCCACAAAATACACAGCTAGTGCACTTCACAGTGAATCCAATGAAGCACTTTGAGATGTCCTCCCGACGTGAAAGGCGTCATACTGAAGGATTGTTATTACGGGAGTCATGTAGCGTATTGGTTGGAGCACTCGCCTCACAAGCGAGAGGACCCATGTTCAAATCCACGAGCAAAGTGAATCCTTAGGCAAGATTCCTTACTCCACATGCCACTGTTTATCTGGCAAGTAGGAACCCGGTTGTTAGTCGATTGGCTGATCGTTTTCTGGGGGTAATAATCTCTTCAAAATATATATTTTTTAAATTTGGTCACTCAAATCACGACTGTTTGTGGGTCATTGTTGTGCGCAATTGGCTGCGCGTTTCACCCATAAAATATACAGTCAATGCACCTTACATTCTGTGAACCGCTTTGAGACATCTTGAAGACATGATGAGGCGCTATATTTAAATGCAAAGAATATTATTATTTTCCCTCTCACCACCCTCTGGGTAAGGAAGTTCCTCTGAAAGTCCCTTTGACAACTGTTACTCACGATCTTATTTTTAGGCCCCTTGTTCTAGACTCAGCAAAAAGAGGAAACAACTTATTATTGGCCACTTTATCGACATGACACATTGTTTGAAGGCTGCAATGTTCAACGAGACCCGACAGTAAATTCCTCATAAAACAGCACAATCTTTGTGAAAAGGTCCTTGGAAACCCTTCAGTGGTGGTTTGGGCGAAATAAATAGAACCATCATTATTGCCACTCAAAGTCAAGCACCAGTGACTTAATGACACATTTTCAATGGGATTTCTTTCATGCTTGTTTATGTGAAAGCAATGTCCCTCGGATAGAGAATCCAAGGTCCCCTGAGGAGCACAGAATCGTGTGCTGGTCCTTCACTTTCATTGACCCAGTCATCAATAGCTTCCCATTGATTGCACACACCAGCATCTCCTATAAGATGCTTTGTTCACCCAGCCATTGGACTGTGCCCCATCCCCTTCAGACGGGTGAGCAGGTCAAGTCACCTTTGAGACACAGAGGTCACCAGGCCAATTGCCCAACACAAGATTTGATTAATAAAGAGCCCACACGTCTAGAAGATCTATCCTAACACAAGGTACATTATCTGGACAGGGCTTGCTATGTGTAATTGGCTGCCACGTTTCGCCCACAAAATAATTCATTTTACTATATATTCTGTGAAGCACTTTGAGGCGTCTCAACGCCGTGATGAGGCTCTATATCAAATGCAAGTGTTATTAACCTTATAACCAAGTCTGATCACTATTGTGCATTGCCCTTTGATTATTCTGAACTTGTATTGGAAGAAGCGAACAAACAAGTTATGAAACGCCCTTCGCGTACGATGAAAGCCAATTTGCACACAGCAATGTCCCCCAAACAGCTGTGTCGTGAATGACCAATTTTAACTGGGAGATTGTTGGGTCAGACACCAGGAGAAACTCCTTTCAATGGATCTTTAAGGTCCACCTGAATGGGCAGACAGGACCTCAGTTTAATGTCTCATCCGAGGGATGTCGCCTCCGATAATGCAGCGCCCCAACACCCCCCACTCACCCTCCCCCCCACCCCCGGCAATGCACTGGAGTGAGACACCAGAGAAGCTGAATACAAACAAGTTGTCTCTCAGCATGAGGCAATGCCTTCAGAACAGGAAGAGGAAGGGGACTGGGGGAAATTGAGACTAAACATATTTCTTGAAAAACTGCCGCAGACGAGCAGACAGGAAAGATGACTGAATTCCTCAGCAGATTTTCACTCGGCTGACTGTGCTGAATAAGCACCGCACACCCTTTTCATAATGATTTTCCGTATAAATACACTAGAAGTACTAATGGAGGTTTTAACAGTGAATAAAATGCTTTTTTGGCAGAGACTGTAGAGCTTTTTTGGCACTGTGTATGATCAGAACATTTCAGCTAAGTCACATCAATTACATGAAAGAAGAGACCCATAATCATTCAATAGAATTCTTGTTTCAAGATCTTTTTCACTAACTGTTTCCGACCATGCTTCTTCCAAAGGCTTGGTGAGCTATATCAGGTGCCAAGTCTAAATCCTGCACTTTGCTGGTCAATTGGGCGAGCGGTTTATGTCAATCAGGCTCAGTCAGTAGCCCTGCCGCATTTGTCAAAAAATACACAGTCACTACACTTTACAGTGAAGTCCTGTGAAGCACTTTGAGACATCCTCCCATGTGAAAGCACTACATTGGAATTTCAGCCTAACCAATATGAGTTCTAAGTATCGATGCGAGGTAAGAGTGAGAGTGAGACTCAGCCAGGCTGACAACTTAGGAGAGTTGGGAAATAAAGTTGCTAAAAGGGTATGGAGAAGACAAACGATTAAAAAAATCTGTCATAATATTAATAATAATCCTTGCATGTAATGCAACGCCTTATCACGTTGTTGAAACGTCTCAAAGCGTGTCACAGAATATACTGTAAAGTAAATTAACTGTGTATTTTGTGGGCAAAACCCAACAGCCAATTGCACGCAGAGGTGTCCAATAGTCGTGGATTGAGCGACCAAATATATAACAGCAATAGTCATGACCGAATAAACTGATAGAACAGGCTCGATGGGCTGAAAGGAATCTTCCTGTTCCTATTGTGCCACTTAAATGGGGTCAGGCATGTCTGAGAGTCCTGGGCGAAGACTATACAGAATGGGCCTGGAGCTATCTTGTGCATCTTTAATGGGATGAATTCCATTAGGAATCACCAATAGTTGCATTGTTACCTTAGCATCTGCGGGTCGCCTGAAATATTCATTGGCCGAATCACTGAACCAACCTACCTCAGCGTTAGAAAACTCCGAGCTTCATACTGATACACGTCGGGACTCAAACAACCGACTGTCATTGTCGGACTCATATCTGGCTCAGTTGTCAATCGTCTGGTGCATCCTAGAGTGTGGCTGGTCTGAATTGCTCTAGAGCAGCACGCACCAAAACAGGACTTTAGGATGCACCAAGACATCCCAAAGTAAACCCAAATCAACACGTTAGGATGAACCAATATGGTAGAACAAGAGGATGTAAGGTTTAGAGTTACAAAGGGCAATTTCAGGACAGGCACTGCCAAGGTTTACTGAGGGTAATTAATGGCTGGAACAGATTGCCAGGAAAGGTGAGAACAGAAGGGTCTTCTTCACTGAGCCTCACAAATTTCCCTCGGCAAGCGAGGCAGCCTTGCAGACCATCTGTGCCGTGCGCGTGAGAACGACTGAATTCTGTTACAATGCAAGGTCTGATTTTATGTGGGGTGGTGGTGGGGGAAGAGTGTCAGTCCCGTAAAATTCGCTGGTAACCTTGACTTTCTGCCCCCAGCCCGGTCAAAAAGCATGGTGGTGGGAGAGAACACCGGGAGCTCTAGCCGGCCGTCCTCACCCAGTGTGATGGAGCGAACGTTGAAATCAGGTTGGCTGAAGAAACAGAGGAGCATCATGAAGAATTGGCAGCAGCGCTGGTTTGTGCTCAGAGGAGAGCAGCTCCACTACTATAAGGACGAGGATGAAAACAAACCCCAGGTGAGGACAAAGGAGTCGCGGCTCGCAAGCGAGAGACCTGGGTTCGATTCCCGGGCAAGGGCGAAATGTTGGGCAAGTTTCCTTACTCCACATGCTTCTGTCTACTTGGCAGTAAGTAGGAACCCCGGATGTTAGTCGATTTGCGGATCGCTTCTCCGGGTGTAATACTTCTTTCAGAAAAAAATAATAAAAATAAATTGGTCACTCAATCCACAATTGCTTGTGGGATGCTGCCGTGCACAATTGGCTGCTGCGTTTCGCCCACAAAAATGCACGGTCAATTCACTTTACAGTATATTCTGTGAAGCGCTTTGAGACGTCTCGAAGGCGTAGCAAGGCGCTATATCAAACGCAAGGATTATTATTATCTCATGAGAAATCATGGTGGGATTAACAATGTAGCGCTCTCGAGCCCCACGTCGGGACTGTGAGCTCACACCCCCTCAGGCTGACACTCCAGAGCAGTGCTGGGGGTCAGCTGCTCTGTAGGAGGTGACGTTCTTTGGATGAGACGTTAAAACTGAGGTCTCATCATACCTGTTCAGTGCTCCTCACCCACACTGCCTTCAGATACTCTCTTCCTCAATCCCTCCGCCTCACCTTCCCACGACCACCCCGCCCCCTTTCCCAGCTCAGACTCCCACTCTGTTTTTGTGCAGTTCTTTGTATAGGCAGCTGTGTAATTGTTATTGTGGGCGGGTTGCTGAAGACAAAACCAAACCAGGAGCAATTGCCCTTGGCCGTAAAAGCACCGCAAGCTGAAAGCCCATCGTGCAAAGCGTTGTGTATTTGATCTTCAATATCTTCAGGGCGGGCTGAGAGAGCAGGGCAGGGCGAAGGCTGGCTTATTGAATTAACTTCATCACCTCGGCAGCACTCCATCTATAATGGGCGGATTGACTGACGCATGTACAAAGTGTCAGGATATTGCCAGGTGCCGGGTCAGTGTGTGATGGGGATTGCTATTCTTCTGCATGAGGTAATGCTACCATTAAAGATTGATAGGGGAGCGGAGGCCAGACTTGCAATGCAATCACGATGCATTAAGGAGAAGGCTCTTTTTTTGTATTCATTGAACAAGAGGGAGGGCTTGAGTTCGGATCTCTGTTGTTGGCTGACGCTTGGGATAAGTGCTGCGCTGAGCTGCACTGCGTCCTTTTATTTCCGCACTGCTTGGCGCCATAGCACTCGGCACGAGAACTGAGTAGCGACGATGAACAGATACAAGAGGGGAAGCAGCTTAAAACAGAAAAAAAAAACAATCGTCAATCCTCGCATTCGATACTGCCCTGATAAGATCGAAACGACTCAAAGTGCTTCACAGAGGATTGCAGTCAAAGGCAGCAACTGTGTACTTGTTAGGGTAAATCAATTTCAAACCAAGGAGACAGAGGGCCAGAGGTTAAAGTTGAGGAGTCACATAGGATCAGAGCTTAAAGTTCAGGGCCATTCAGCTATTAATATATTCATGATTTTATTGGTAGGGAGGTCCTATGTTTGGGGGTGTGCAGGTTGAACATCCGCCAGATGATTTTTTGGGCAAATACGAGCTGACCTGAAGAGTGTGCTTTCACAATTGACGTGTTGAAGCAGCTAGTGATGGCTGACCAGCCAAACATACCTCTCCTTTTGAGGCTCAGTGAGAAACCAGGTACGTTTATGGCAGGCCAGTAAATTAATGCAAAAGTATCCCACTGACATACATACAAACAGACAGACAGACAAATGGTATAATGTAAATATACGTAAATGTATATAATATAATAATAATAATACTAGTAATCCTTGAATTTGATAATATAGCGCCTTATCATGTCTTCGAGACGTCTCAAAGTGGTTCACAAAATATACTGGAAAGAGAATTGACTGTGTAATTTGTGGGGAAAATATTAATAATAATGAGACGTCTCAAAGCCCTTCACAGAAAAAAACTGTAAAGTGAATTGACTGTGTATTTTGTGGGCGAAAAGCGGCAGCCAATTGCACACCGAGTTGTCCCACAAACAGTCGTGGATTGAGTGACCAAATATATATGTATATATAATATATATATTATAAATGACAGTCCTTACGTTTGTCATACAGCTTTTGAATTGGGAGAACATCCCACGTTCGGCTTCACAGAATTTACTGTAACGTCCACAAGGGGGAAAGAAAGAGCTACATAAATCGAGACCCAGGAGGAATTTCTCCCAGAATGTACCGGATGAAATTTGGGTGTTTCTTTGTTTAATACGGCCACTCCTGGGATGAGTCCTATTTCCACGTTGTTCAGTACACAAAGACACAGCAGGGAGTGTGTGTAACCCTGGCCATCTCAGCCAGACACTGAAAATGTATGTGACAGAACAGCATACACTTGGTGTTCACCACTCAGGATAAGGGTTAGTTAAGTGTCGGCTTCGTAAACTGGGTCAGACAGACAGACGAGGCTTGCTCTACTTTCACTAACAGTAGTTGTGGACAGGGCGTCTCGCACTGACAAGACAATACAAATATAATATGCATAATTGTGTATAATATATATTTTAAATAATAGTCCTTGCATTTGATTTAATAATAATCCTTGCATTTGATGTAGCACCTTATTACGTCACTGAGACGTCTCAAAGTGCTTCACAGAATATACTGTAAAAGGGACTGACTGTATATTTTCTGTATATATTTGTGTATATTTCAAAAGTGAAAAAAGAGCTTTCTCATTGGGAGAACAACTCACATTTGCTTCACGGGATTTACTGTAAAGTGGTGGGACTGCATATTTGGAGACAAATGGAACAGGCAATTTAAGCACAGCTTTGTCCCACAAACAGCCGTGAAGTGAATGAACAATTTTAACTGGGGGCCTATTGGCCAGGACACGAGCAGAAACTCCCTTATCTTTTTGAATAGTGCCATGGAATCTTTAATGTCCAGCTGAACGGGCAGATGGGATCTCAGTTTAATGTCTCATCCAAAGGACTGTAGCTCCCCCTAACATTGCATTAGAGTGTCAGCCTAAAATGTGAGTTCAAAGTTCCTGATGTGGGGCTTAAACCCACAAGCATGAGACTCAGGTGAGAGAGAGGTACCAGCTGAGGAAGGTTGGCACAAGACACAATGGGCATCTTAAATTCAGAAACTCCTGATAGATAGAGAGAGAGAGAAAGAGAGAGAGAGCTGTTTGTGAGATATTGGTATATGCAAACCGGCTGCTGTGTTCGCCTGCAGAATACACTTTATAATAAATTCGGTGAAGCGGTTTGAGACGCCTCAACGACGTTAAGGTGCTATATCAAAAGGATTTTTTTTATTATAATAATTATTAAAGTGTAAGTTATTGTTGTTGAAAAACTGCAACACTGATCTGTGTTCGACAGAAAAAATGCATTCATGTTCCCCCGACGTATCCCATGCATAATTCAATAGAAGTCTCCTTAACTGGGTTACAATATAAATGGGGACATCTGAGTGGAAGAAGTATGTCTCAGACTAACAGCACGACAGTTTAATGGGAGCTCTGGGTTTGCTCTTCATCACAGCACCGAAATTCAAGGCAAATTGGTCTCACAGGCTAAGAGGAGGTGAAATTTCAGCTCTCGTTTTGTACGTTATAATCCTACAATAATCCTTGCGATTGACGCAGCCCCTTGCACGCTCGGAATCTCTGTGAGTGCTTCACAGCATATGCTGCAACAGGTACTGACTGTGTGTTTTGTAGGTGAACGCAGCACCCAATTTGCACACAGGCAATGTGCCACAAGTAGCCGTGAAGTGAACGGCCAATTTGATTTGGGGAATCGTTGGCCAGGGAGAGAGGAACTCCCTTCCCTTTTCAATTAGTGCCGCGGGATCTTTAATGTCCACCCGAACAGGCAGACAGGACCCTGGTTCAACGTCTCAACCGAAGAATGGCACCTCCGACAATGCAGCACAACCCCCAGCACTGCACCCGAGCGTCAGCCTGGACAAGGCGAGTTCGAAGTCCCGACGTGGGACTTGAACCCGCTAACTTCCAACTCAGAGGCGAGAGTGCTACCAAGTGAGCCAGGCTGACGTTTGCTTTGTGGAGGTGGGGGCAAACGGGCAAAGATAAAGCATTTGGCTTCTGGCCTCCCCCTTGGGAATTGTCTGCATATTATCCCTTTGGAACAATCCCTCCAGTCGGCGCTGGGATGATCAGGTTTAACTACTACAGCAGATCAGTTCTGCAGGGAGAGGCGGCTCTGATTTCATTTAACTGGACAAACGCCGCCTTTTATTACTCAAGAGTGCGACAGTGCAGACAGCAAAGCTGAGGATTCACTTTTAATACATAGATCAATTGCAAGGCAACCAAGGTTACTGCTGCGGAGTGCAACCAAACCCTCTGAAACAGCACACTGAAAGAACCTAACTACCCGGTAAAAATCTGCGTGTCAAATATAGGACACTTCCTGACAGAAGACAGCTCAGATCACAAGGTCGGGTCTGGTGAAGAAGGCCCTTCGGCCTATATGATCTCATCCTTCCAGAAATACTCACCCCATCGTCTTTTTCGAGCTACATCTCCACCTCACTGAGGTGAAGGATCCCATATGCAGACATGGCTTTATCTAGCCCCGTGTTCCTTGGTATCAAATACAGCAAAACTCGTCTTAGCTTTATAAATCATATCATCGGGTATGATTAAGTCGTAGATCCACCCGAGGCCCATTCAGTTTCCTCGCCAAACCACTTTGATTTTGTTGCACTACTCGTATCAAACACTTATCACGTATCGCCCCTCCCCTTCCATTTGCCGCCTGCATTGAATTACGTATGCACAGGGTAGATCATTGATTAAATCGGATTTTATACAACTTATACAGTTTGTCTGCAACTTGGACTTTGCGTAAGTCATATTAAATGTTATGGTCCCGACTGATACGCCTTATGTGAGTAGCAAATGTCAGAACCTTACCTGAGAGACTAGAATTTAACAACCCGTTGTCTGTCCCCTGAAGTCAGCCGGCCACGGCTTTGTGCCTTAAACCTGGTCTCGCTGACATATCTTGGTGCCACCATTCCTGTGGTCCTGTGTTTGGATTTCACTTCAATGGGTGGGTGGCCTTTGTGGAATTCTGCAACACACACAAAGAGGAGACTGGTTAATCACAGGCATTAAAGGCCCATTATCTTTGTGACAAATGTAAATAATAACACCTGCATTTAATGTAGCACCTTATCATGTCGTTGAGACGTCTCAAAGCGCTTCACAGAATATACTCCAAAATGGATTGACTGTGTATTTTGTGGGCGAAATGCGGCAGCCAATTGCGAACAGCAGTGTCCGGTGGATTGAAAGACTAAATTATTATTATTTTTTTTGAAGGGATTATTACCCACTGGAAAGCGATCTGCCAAATGACTATCAACCAGATTCCTACTTACTGCTAGGTAAACCGAGGCGTGTCAGGAAACCGCAAACATCACAATGCACTTTGCTACAAACTGGCTGCGTGACCTGCAGGAGAGAAATTCCATCTGGGTCTAGATTTACACTATTTAGGTTTGTCTACAAAGTTTGTCTGGCAGCGATTCCTATGAGGTTCTTTGAGATGTCCTCCCAATTTGCTGTCAAGTGTAGTGACTGAGATTTGTTGGGCAAACACTGCAGCTAATTTGCACACTGCAATGTCCCACCAACAGCCATGAAGTGAATGATCAGTATTATCTGGGGGCCTGTTGGAAAGGGCCCTGTGAGAAACCAGGCAAAAGGGACCTTGGTGTATTGTCTAAACCAAGCAATGCAGCATCCCCCCCCCCCCCCACTCCCCAGTACTTCATTGGAGTGTCAGCCTTGACTATGTGAGTTCCAAATCCTGATTTGGGGCTTGAATCAACAACCTTCTGACTCACAGAGGGCTACCAACTGAACCAGGCTGATAGTGGCTGCAAGCTTTAAAGTGGACACACCTTTGGGATGTGACGTATATCTTTACGTCTACCTGAACAGGCAGATGGGAACTCAATTTAATGTCTCAGCATTGCATTGGAGTGTCAGCCTAGACTACTTGACTTGTAAGTCCCAACGTGAGGCTTGAACTCACAACCAGAGCGCAGTCACTGCATATTCGTAAGCAAATGCAGCAGCCAATCTGTGTTCAGCAATATGAGACTCAGAAGGCGAGAGTACTGCCAACTTCTCTGTTAACCTTCCCTGCTGACATACAAACAGCCCAAATCTCTTAAGTCTCTTTTTGTAGTCGATTATAAGATCAGCCACGAAAGAAGCAGGCTCGGTTGGCTGAATGGCCTCTTTCTATTACGAAATTTCTCAATAAGGAAACCTATCAAGCCAGACCACAACGAAACCCCATCAGTAGCTTCCTCAATCCGAGCCTTTCTGAGAATGCAAACTCCCTCCTCATCTTCAGCCCATTTGATCTCATTCCTCCAGAATACCCAACCTAACATTCTTCCCACAATAAGCGCTTTGAGACGCTCTCCTGGAGTGAAAGGAGGGTTAAGAGGCAAACCGAAAATGTGTTGTAGAAGCTCGTGACATAGAAATGCACACTAATCAAACCTCGCCTTCCTCATTCCTAAACTAGTCAAACACACACTCGCAAGACCAAGGAGGAGGGGGATATGGCAGCTCTTGACATTGTCGTGACAATCGCACGGAGATCAGATCGACTATGGGAATCAACCACTCACTTGTCCCCCGGCCTCTGGCTCGACATTCTTGGATCTCACGATCTGAATGTCTGAATCCAAACCGGAAATGAGCAACTCAGATCACGTTGTCGACTAAACATTCCTCTTTTCTGCCCCGGTTCCTCACTCTCACTTTGTTTGAGATCCTGGTTATAAGACCACATCTGTTTGCGGGGGGTTGGGGGGGAAGGAGGAGGAGGGAAGGGAATCAGCAAGAATTCAGTCAGGAAGTCTTTCCATAAGGCCTTTTAATGATGGAGCAGTTACTGAGAGGCATCTCTCCCTCCCTCTCAATCTCTCTTTCTCTTCCTCACTCTCAGTCTCTCTCGTCCCACCTTTGCACGCTCCCAAAACAGATTTGGATGAAGAGGGCCCGTTAAACTCAATGTGAAACCCTGCAGTAAGCAGATTAGACATGCTCTTCACAGTAAAATCTGCTGTCCAGCATGCAAAAATACAAAATGCAGTATCCTCGTTGCTATTTTGAGGTCGCAGACCCAGTGCGTTAGTCACTTGGTGACTTCTTGGCCAGCTCAGATACTTTGTGGTTTAGCTTTGCTTTTCCCCATTTCTGCATTGCTAACTGAATGGAATTTGAGAGCCAGGCTTGTATGAACACCAAACAAGTGAGAGGAGAGCTCCCTCTCTCTGTTAGTTTTGTAGGTTCCTGTGTCACTGTGGAGTTCTTGCATTGATTTCGTGTTGTTCGAGTTCAAGCGCTTGGTTTCAAGGCAGTCTGTTAAGAGTGTCAAGACAGGGATCTGGTAAGGGTATCAATAGAGGTGATCAGTAAGGGTATCAATAGAGTTAGGTGCCCCTTCCCAGACACTGACCATCTCGGTGATCGAGTGGGCAAGACAAGCTCCAACGCAACCGGCAATTCTGTGCTTTGCCGAATGGCCACTGGAGGTCAACCAAGAGCAAGTCCGAAGAGACGTTGGGTTTGATTTTGCCTTATCCCAGTGGGGGCTGGAGCCCTTATCCAGTGTTTTCCTGGGGGTTAGTATGAGGAGACTCAGCAGAGCAAAGGTCAAACCTGCACTCTCAACCTCTGAGTGCCGTAACAGGGTGCGAGAGAGCAAAACCTTGTGATGTCATTTTACGAGAAACTAGAGACGGATCTTCAGTGAATGCCGACAAGGCAGAGATCATTTCCCATCACACTTCTACCTTCCTCATTTAAACAGCTGGTGCTTCAAGGAGGAAGGTAGCAGCAGAATGTCACTTCCGAGTCAAGCACGCTGAATATCTCTACCAGTGGTGACCAACCCTTTTGGTTGACCAACAAAATAGCATGTATTTATGCCGGAAATCGTGAAATATTCAAGGGAGAAGCATTTATTTTGATCTATACAATTTACACTGATCTATACAATTTCTGTTTTCACTCAAGTCACGCACCAAATCCATTCACAGTCACCCAACGGTTCCACACAAGCAATTCACAACACCCCCACCAGCCCACCCCAGCCGTCCACTGCACCCGTATAAGTGTGGGGTTTCACGCACTGGTTTCACTCCTCTCCATTATGGAGTCCTGTAATAATAATAATAATAATCTTTGCATTTGATATAGCGCTTTTCATGTCGGGAATGCGCTTCACATAACACACTGTAAAGTGAATTGACTGTATATTTGTGGGCGAACGCGGCAGCCAATTGCGCACAGCAATGTCCCTCAAACAGTCGTAGATTGAAAATGACCAATTTATTATTGTTTTTGGTTTTGGAGGGATTATTGTTAGGCGTGTGGAGTAAGGAAACTTGCCCAAGGTTTGGCCCTGCGTGGAATTGAACTCAGGTCTCTCACTTGCAAAGCGAGTGCTCTAACCACTGAGCTACAGGATTCCACAGTGTAGCTCAGTGGTTAGAGCACTCGCCTTGCAAGCGAGAGACCTGGGTTTGATTACAGGCAGGGCGAAACGTTGGGAAAGTTTCCTTACTCCACGCGCATGCCTCTGTTTACATAGCAGTAAGTAGGAACCTGGTTGCTAGTCGATTGACAGATCGCTTTTTCGTGAGTAAATAGCGATTCCTTCAAAAAAATATTAACAATAAATCAGTCACTTCAATCCACAACTGTTTGTGGGACACTGCTGTGCGCAATTAGCTGCCGCGTTTCGCCCACAAATATACAGTCAATTCACTTTTCAGTATATTCTGTGAAGCGCTTTGAGACGTCTCGAAGACATGATAAAGCGCTATATCAAATGCAAGGATTATTATTATTATTATATCAAATGCAAGGATTATTATTGTTATTACTCTTATTATTCGTCAATTCTGTCGCAGGTCAGGCATATCAAGGGATGCTCTAGTGCAGAGTATGTCACTGTAATCACTGGAGATTTGTTTCTTTCCATAGGGTTCAATCCAACTACAAGGCAGTCAAGTCAATGAATTTACAGCCAATCCGGAGGAACATGGCAAACATCTGTTTGAGATTGTCCCAGGTAAGATCACCGTAACATACAATATTTACCTTGGGTTGGATTGTAGGTACCACTACCATAGTGTACAACACTGCTACCTTTAGTCATGTTTTAGGTACGGTCACTATAGTGTACAATACCGTTACCTTCAGTCATGTCATAGTTCCAATCACTGTACTGTCCGATGCTGTCATTTTGCTGCACAGGGGATCATGCGATTGCGGTTTACAGTCGTTTTGGTTGAGAACACTGAGATCTCACCTAGACTTGTTTCTGGCTGGGGCTTTGTTCTTTCACACCCCAACAAAAGCATTTCATTTTTATCGATCCATTTCACTGCAGAGCCAGCGGTAGTTAGCACGCCCAGAGGCTTCCAGGCCCCGTGCAGGGTTAGGTAACAACCTGGGAAAGAAGCTGATTCACCTCTGCCGGCTTCATGCCACCCCTTATAAGAAATAATACAAATAATAAGCCTTGCATTTGATATAGTGCCTTTCAGACGGGGACAACATTCCAAAGCAACAACAACAACTTGCATTTATACAGCGCCCCTTACACTTGGTAGCATCTTGGAGCACTTCACTCCTTCCGAAAGATGTCACAGGATCTTTAAAGTCCACCCGAACTTGGTTTAACATCTCACCCGAATGCAGCACTCCCCCCAGCACTGCAATGGAGTGTCAGCCTACATTGTAGGAGCTCCAAGTCGCACGCTTGAACCCACAACCTTCATACTCGAAGATTGACTGAGCCAGGCTGACACCTAAGACTTCAATTGCAGAACGTGACTCTGTGTCAACCCAAATAAGTGGCCCAGAAAGGACTTGCTGTCTGGTGCGGTTAGTGAAGATACAGATGGAATGAGAAGCAGATTCATCCATCAAAGCACATTAGGCCCAAACCTGTCCAAATGCTGTTTCTGAAGAAATCTTAATTGATACTAAGTTTCAGGCTAAACTTCAGCTGGATGTTGTCGGAAAGGAAGAAAGCCTTCAAGTTCAAAGGCGTGTGTGGCACTAGGACATAATGTAACATGGCATTTGTTCTGGTGAGGTAAGGAGCAATATTGGAGAGCCACTGTAAAGCCTGTGACATGCTGGAAATGCACAGCATCTCCATGCCCCAGTGATAGCAGAGCTCAGCTCAATGTTTTTGTTGTGACCCCAAATGTTGTGACCATTTCTTCCTCGTTTCACATTTGTCCCTTTGAAGAATCTTCCCGTCACTGAGCCTTCAGTCACTGTGCCCACATCCTTTCCCTAAACCACTCTGCCTCACACTCACTCTGCCCTTCACCAGATCTCCTTCCCTGTTGTCAAAACCTATTCCGAAAACAAATCACCTCTTGGACCGATTCTATCCTGAACCAATCTTGGTATGTCTTGGTGAAAGATTCTCTAAAAAGTTCAAACACCCCAGAGGATTGACGCAGGCATAATGTTCTGCACAATGTCCTGCAGGGAAATGGGTGATAGACATATTGTCTGTCTGCATCTGCAACTGCCCCGAGCCTCGCTGGTGAATGACAGGCTGCACGACTGAGGAACAAGCGAGTTTTAGCCAGAAAACACTCCAAAACACAGCCATGGTTCACAGCTCGCACGTTCATGCGTGTTGTATCCATGATTTATATAACTAAAGAAGAATTTGGTCACTCAACCCACGACTGCTTGTGGGACGCTGATGTGCGCAATTGGCTTCCGCGTTTCGCCCACAAGCCATACAATCAATTCACGGGACAGTATCTTCTACGAAGCACTTGGAGACGTCTCAACAGCGTGATAAGATGCTATATCAAATGCAAGGATTATTATTATATTATCCCCCTTCCCCAAGAAATGTCCTGCTGTTTTGCTGTGCACTTGGCAGATACACCAGCTGCGCTGTGCGGATTTCAAACCACATTAGTCGCAAACTGACAATGAAATTGACAGCAGCTCGGAGCCTGTGTAAGGAATATGACAAAGGGTCATTCAGAGTGACTACAGAAGACCTGCCAGCATTCTTACGAATCTCCAGGGGATTGCAGGTCAAAGAACCAATCCCCATTGGTGCTGCCCTTTTTGTGTGTGTGTGTGTGTGTGTGTGTGTGTGTGGAACGTCTTCAGACACTGCTTGAGTCGTCAATAAATGTTTTCTCATGTTACGTGACAGCAGCAAGGGTCCGGGGTTAGGTACACTCGGCGATGAATTGCATGTTGCACACGTTTAAAGCCTTCAATACCAATCACTCTCAAAGAGACTTGTGTCGGCTACCGCCTCTTGGCCATTTTGGTCTTTTACCGCAGAGAGAGTAAGCCTCTCGCTTGCTACCTTCACCACTCACAGCCCAGTCATCAAGAGTTCAAAGCTCACGTCGTTTTAGGGCACTGATTTTTTTTACTTGCTTTGTTTTTGAGAGCAGACTGATCAGTGCCAGCCCGGACCACTGTTATTCGGAGATCGTTGCTGGAAGGTCTTGTATACACGTGTGTAATGGAATGTGTACGTGTGTACCCACGGGTGTGTATGCCTTACTTACAAAACACAGTCACGACCCTCTACACTGGACACCAGGCTCCAGGGTCAAATGCAAGGATCGCACCTAAGCGGTCTGTACGGCTTTGAATAACCCTCGCCATCTCCACTGCCTCTGCAGCACAAAGCATAGCCACTAGGTGGCAGCCTTTCTTTGCAAATAACGCAGCACAAAGCAGAAACTTCGCAGCTGCTTCTGGAAAGGAGATGAGGAGGATTTCACAGTCATCATGTTAACAACAACTACAACAACAAGATTACATTTGTACAGCGCCTATCACGTCGGGAGGATGTCCCAAGGCGCTGGACAGAGTATAGCATTTCTGACCCGAGCTGGGGTCAGGAGGGGAAGGGAGGGTTGGGGATGGCGGGTGGCCGATGGCATAGTTGAAGAGGAGGGTCTTGAGGCGGGACTTGAAGGAGGCTAAGGAGGGGGCGAGACGGAGTGACTGGGGGATGGAATTCCAGAGGTTGGGGGCAGAGTGACTGAAGGCTCTCCCGCCAATGGTGGGGCGGGTGGGACGTGGAGCAGACTGAGCGGATGGAATGGGCGGGGTGGTAGGGGGTTAGGAGGTCGCAGAGGTAGGCTGGGCGAGGCCATGGAGGGCTTTGTATGTGAGGACCAGGATCTTGAACTGGATCCTCTGAAGGATAGGGAGCCAATGGAGTCAGGCGAGAATGGGGGAGATGGGGTCATGGAGTTTGGTGTGAGAGAGGACAGTGTAGTGTAGTGACTTTTTTTTTACACACAGACAAAAGTGCAAATGGTCAATTTATCCAGGCCAGTACACCAGGACCAGCCTGGACTGTGGGACATTGAACCCACAAACCTTTAACCCGGAATCTGCAGTGAGACTCACCTGAGCCAAGCCAACACCCTAAAACCAGTTAACACAGACAGAAGAGAAATAGAAAGGAGAATAGCTGCATTGTCGGACGTGTCCTGGCCAACGATCCTCCAAATAAAATTGGTCACTCACTTCATGGCTGTTTGTGAGGCATTGTAAATTGGCTGCCGCTTTCGCCTACACAATACAAAGTCACTACACATTATAGCCTATGCAGCACTTCACTTTACACTTATCCTGGCAAGCGCTTTGAGACGTTCTCCTAACGTGAAAGGCTCTGTATCAAATGCGAGGACCACTGACTTATTTAACTGGAGGAGCTCTGAGCTTACAATCTTTGAAGAGAAATGTTAGTGCAGACGGGGAGGGAGGGGACCACAGGTCTCGAATGTACAAACCGGCAGGGAGAGGGAGAGGGCGGGGGGGGGGTGTCGAACCTCAGCAACATGAGAGCCTGTCTAATTAAAAAGCTTATGGCTGTACCAATGCTCATCCAGAACCACCGCCGTTAAAGCCATGGTCGCCTGGCAAGGATTTAGAAGCAATCAGTCATATCTGACTTCACACATACACATTAAAGCACAAGTTACTGAATGGTGATCAATAACATGAACCCAAGGCTCATTTATTCCCAAGTCTGATTTATCTGCCTCCTAGCCCAGGGACACTGAAGCCAATTGGTTATACACTCTAAAATATGAATCCTTAGTTTGGTTTAGCATCTTTCACATCAGGAGTACGTCTCAAAGCGCTGCTTCACAGCATATATTGTAGAATGTCGCCACCATGCCTTTCGTAGGTGAAAGCAGCAGCCCATTTGCACACAGGAATGTCCCACAAACATCCCATGAATTGAATGGCTGATTATATCTGGGGAATTGTTGGCCAGGACACCAGGAGAAATTCCTTTCTCTTTTACTAATAGTGCCATGGGATGGGAATCTTTTAGCGTTCACCTGAACAGAAAGATAAGACCTCGGGTTAATATCTCATCCGAAAGATGGCACCACCGATAATGCAACTCCCTCCCAGCACTGCGATGGAGCGGCACCTTAGATTATGTGATGCCAATGTTGCAATGGGGGTGGGGGGGGGACTTGAATCCACCACCTTCTGACTCAGAGTTGAGAGCACTATCAACTGAGCCAGACTAACACCTATAATAATAATCCTTCCATTTGATATAGCACTTTTCACGTCGGGAGGACGTCCCAAAGCGCTTCACAGAACACACTGTAAAGTGAATTGACTGTATATTTGTGGGCGAACGCGGCAGTCAATTGCGCACAGCAATGTCCCACAAACAGTCGTAGATTGAAAATGACCAATTTATTATTGTTTTTGGTTTTGGAGGGATTATTATTAGGCGTGTGGAGTAAGGAAACTTGCCCAAGGTTTCGCCCTACCTGGATAAGCAATAGGGTAGTGGGCTGTGTGATGTGGGAATGCAGGCTGCAAATTTAGGCAAGTTTACTTAATCCATTTGCCTCTGTTCACCTCGCACTAAATTGGAATCCAGTTGTCAGTCAATTGTCGATTGTTTTCTGCGGGTAGGTAATAATCCCTAAAAAAAAGTCACTCAATCCACGACTGTTTGTGTGCGCAATTAGCTGTTGAGTTTCGCCCACAAAATATAGTCAATTCACTTTTGCAGTGCGTTCCGCGAAGTTCTTTGCAACGTCGCATTGTGTGATGAAGCTCCAAATCGAATGCAAGGATTATTATTTTTATCACGTCATGACTGAATGTTAGCCCTGTTATTACTCAATCACCCCCTTTCCCTTCTCTCTCTCTCTCTCTCTCTCCCTACTACACAACACAACTCATCAGCATGCCATCAATCAAGCTTAACCGGGATCAATCCCCAAATAAGGATCACTTTTCAGTGAAACGCGATTAGGACAACCGCGATTCATCACGTTACATCCAAAACACCGCACAACGTATCTGGTGCGAGGCCAGGACTGTCTGTGTCCGCACACCCATCACTATTGTCAAGTAGAGCCTAAAACCATTTTTGCTGGTCTCCAGTGGGAGCGTGTCTCATGTTACACAGGAGATCCATTTCATGGCTACATTAATCCTTTAGATACAGTGAGGGAGGGTCTAAGTTGAGGAGAGGCCCGGCCTGGGGTCTCAGCACTTGGATTCGGTGATACTTTTACTTTTGATGTGTTGTATTGAGGCTGGTTGCAGGTCAGCCCCAGCGGGGGCTGGATATTGTCTTGTACTGTAACAGAAGAGGGAAGGGTGTAATTGATTGCACTCAGGGGATGGGATAGCGTTTCAAGAGTAATGGAGTGAAAACCTGCTTCGAGCAGCCCCTCGCCTCGGGGCAGGGTCTCCAGTCTGCGAGCAGCAAAGAGGCTTAGACTTGAGGTTCCCTGGCTGGCGACCGGACACAAGAGGATAAAACAGGGAGATTCAATCAAAACCGAGGTTCCCGTCTGGCTGTTCAGGTGGACCATAAAAGATCCCATGGCACTGATCGAAAAGAGGAGGCAGTTTCTCCTGATGTCCTGGCCAACAAATCCCCCAGATAAAATGAGTCATTCACTTCATGGCTGTTTGCAGGACGTTGCTGTGTGCAAATTGGCTCGCGGGTTCGCCTACAAAACACAAAGTCACTACTCTTTACAGTAAATCCTGTGAAGTGCTTTGAGACGTCCTCCTGACATGAAAGGTGCTGTAAGGATTATTATTATTGATCATGTATCATTTGAAATCTGGATAAACGCCCCCCCACCCACCCCCACCGGGGGAGAGTGAGAGGATGATGATGTCTGTGGGCCCAGGATGCCAGGGGAACGCAGGGGGTATGAGGTCAGAAATAGTTCAAGTGAATTTGATTTGAAGAGAGAGAGCGACTCCTGAGAGGACAGCATGACATTTTGACGGCAACAAAACGAGCCACTGTTGGGGGAGCTGTGGCAGGAAGCTCGTGTTGCAAAACGCAGCTCACTGGCCCACTCTACGGTCCACCCACTCGACCGCAGATCCGCAAATGGTCCTTTAACAATAGCCGGTATTCACCCATTCTCTCTCCGCATCGTGACAACATGCCACAAAGATCCCCTGCAGAATTCCACAAAGGATTCTGAATAATAATAATAATCCTCCGTCATTCTATTGTTATACCAATGTAGAATGACGGAGTCTAGAACAATAATAATTATGACCATAAAACTCCTCAAATATGGCTGTGAAGCTCAGCCTTTTGACTCTCCCCGTGGATCAGTGCACAAACTCGTTGCATTTCATATTGGACCTCATAGAGTGGCACAGAGATCAGAGTCTCCAGGCTCCATCCCCAGCCTTCCCTAAGCGAGCTGACATCAGGAAGGGGGCAGTGCGGTGTCATAGGATCTTCAGCAGCCACCTGAACAGGCTCAGACGGTCCAACCGTCTAATCCGAAGGACGGCATGTCTGTAAATGAAGCGCTCCCCCCCAGCACTGCACTGGAGTGCCAGCCTAGTCTGCAAACTCAAAGTCAGTCAAGACTTGCACCTACAATCTTCTGACTCAGAGATGATAGGAATCCCGACCGAGCCAGGCTGACACCTGTTTAAGACAAGAAGCGAGTTTCTCCCATTATCCTGGCCAACGTGTACAACTACAAGTACAGTTTTACACAGTTTTAACGTTGTGGGTGTACGATCCAATGCAAGGAAAATGCAAGATAGGGCCTGTGTGTGTAAAGTGTAAGTAAAGTAATCCTTGCATTTGATATCACGCCTCATCAGATAAAAATCGTTACAGGCGCTTCACAGAGTTTGCTACGAATTTGTAGCGACTGTGTATTTGTAGGCGAACGCAGGTGTCAAGAAGACGCACACAGCGTCATGAAGTGAATTATTTGTTTTACCTGAAGGGTCACTCAACAGAACGCTGAGAGAAACGGCCTTCTTTTTCCGAACGGTGCAGTGACATGTTATAAAGGCTGGGCGGGCATTAAAAGCTTACAGGCTGAGCCTGCATTAATGGGTTAAAGGCTGGATGTGCATGAATGGTTAAAGGGTTAAAGGCTGGGCCCGCATTAAACACGTAAAAGAAGTCCTTTCGCCATCCTCCCGAGCTGCTCATTACCATTTACAAGGGCGGCTCATTCTCGTGTCAAGTGGACGGTGACAGAGTTCAAGTCACCTCAGGAGGCCGGATCAGGGCTGAATGGACTCTGGAGAGTCTTGTGTATGAAACCTCTTTCAACTGCTACGAAGCCTCTACTTCCCACTGAGGCGAACAGAGAGAGAGAGAGAGTACCTGCAATGTGAGGTAGTTGGGCAGAGACTGGTGGGGTGACTGATGTCCCCTCAGATGTTACTTCTCACGCGGTCAGGGAAGTGGAGCTTGTGGAGTGAGTTATTAGACTAATAATTATTGTTGTTATTACTACAAGTGATTATTACTATTATTGATAATTATTATTATACAAGGGTCTGCGTTTCGGATATCACTTTGACATCATGCCTTAAAGCGCCTCACGGGATTTTACTGTGGGGCGACCGTATTTTACAGTCAGCCAAAGTCTCTGCCGAAGGCCGACCCCTCCGACAATGCAGTCCTCCACGCCAACACAGCTGACAGCAGAACGATACAGATGGTGTGGGTCTTAAGTTATCGCTACAGGTACATCGCAAATGCGTAGGCAAAGCACGCACTCGTGCGCAGTTATTCGCCCGAAACATACACACGCTCCCTCACACCTGGGCACGCACACACATACACACACACCCAGACACAAGTACAAATGTTTCACAGCGCTCCACAGGCTTTTCTGTAAAGAGTAACAACAGTATATTTGTGGGTGAACACAGCAGTCAATATGCACACAGCTTAAGCTTCCGCAGAGTACATCAGTTTACAGTCGTGTCCCTCTGTGTGGCAGATACATGCACTCTGCAGCGCTGCAAGGACAGTGTTAGCACACACAAACACACATACGCACACATACACACACACACGCGCACACAGCTATTTCCTTAATCATTGACAGGTAGCGTTCTGATCTCTGTCTCTCCTGGTGTTAAATCACTTTACAGCCAGTTAGCTGAGCTGATCTCTTATAGAGTTTGGTTTTGGAGGAAATTTGCTCAGCAGTGATGATTAAATTCAAAGGCAGTCGATTGCCCTGTAGCTATTAGGAAAAGCATCTGCTAACACACATAAAAGAATTCCCTAGTGGTGTTTTTTTTTCCTCTTTCTCTCTCTCTCTCTCTCTCTCCCCCCCCCCAACCGTCACATCCCCCATCTTCAAAGAGACGAAACATAACTAATAAGCAGTGGAGTTTAATGGGCATCAGGAGTGACGTGGAGAGATACGCTTGGAGCAAGATAAAGAGAGCGAGAGAGGGAGAGAGAGAAAGAAAGAAAGGAAGGAAGGAAGGAAGGAAGGAAGGAAGGAGAGAGCGTAGCACGTGCTGTTGTCTGGAGAGGAGGACAACAATCCAGCCTTTCCTGAATTGATTAGCTGAGTCTGTCTTTGCTTTGGGGTTTGTGTGTAGTAATTGGCAGTGCGAGGCTGGGCTGGACTCAACCGAACATCTCACAGAGAGAGTCAAAGGCTTGCAAGGACCTGGAGGACGTTTCCAAGAATCCTGCGGCGGGAGGAGAGAGACGGAGAGGGCGGGCGGGCGGGAGGGAGGGTGCAACTCGGATGAACGAAGACACCTCTTCGCTGCACGTGGGGGAGACCAGCAAAGTCATGTTTGCCCGGCTCCTCTCTGTACGCTCCAGCGTCGGGCTGCCTGGGCTGAGAGATGCGAGCAGGCACACCTCCGGATGAGCAGACGCGCGGGCTTGGGGATGGCATCCCGATAGCGCTCGGTTGAGGGACCGGCAACGACATGGGACAGTGCTGCTGTAAATACAGAAGGAAGTCACCCCAGCAAGCAAGAGGTACCGGTAGTTTATTATAGAGAATTCTCAATCCTGTTCTCCTTTGCTTGCCCTCCCTCCACCTTGCCCCCTCCTTCCCCATCTTCAGGTCACGCCTGAGGACCTTCCTCTTCGACTGTGCTTATGGCCACCTTCCCTCCCCCTGGCTCGGTGTGGTGCTCCGCCACTGTCAAGCGCTCCCGAGATGCTACGCACGCGAGGGGCGCTATGTAAGTTCTAGTTGTTGTTACAAGAGCAGCGATGTTGACTTATTGCGTTCGGGCTGACGCTCAACATCTGAAACTGCTCTCGAGTGATCCTAGAGAAGGTTAGACTGTTGCGCCCGGGAATTATTTTTGTTTAAAGGGGGCAGACGTCATCGGGATCAAATGTTTTCGGGGCTTGGCAAATCCGTTACGGGGAATACGCAACCGCTAAAAAATAAAAGGGTTCGGGCAAACTCCGGACTCTGGGAAAGGATGTTGAAGGGTCTGCATCGTGACCAAAAGTTTATATTCCTTGTTTCCGGACACGCTTTGAAGGATTGCAGATTGCCATGAGTGCACAGTCACTGCACTTTTCGTCAATTCATCCGCAAAGTGCTTTCGACTCTATCAGCTCTATATCAAATGCAAAGATAGGTGTTATGGCTCGTGTGGCAGCCTGACTCAGTTGGTAGGACTCTCGTCTCTGAGTTATATGGATTCAAGCCCCACGTTGGGACTTTGAACTCAGAATCTAGGCTGACACTCCAGTGCAAGGCTGGGGGTGTGGGGGGGGGGTGGGTGGCGCATTATGGTGCTGTCCCTTGAATGAGACGTAAAACCGAGGTCCCGTCTACTTGTTCAGGTGGACGTTAAAGATCTCATGGCACTATCCGAAAAGAGAAGAGAGTTTCTCCCAGTGTCCTGGCCAATAATCAGCGAGGTAAAATTGGTCATTCACTCTGTGGCTGTTTGTGGGACACTGCTGTGCGCAAACTGGCTGCTGCGTTTCACCTATAAAATAAGTCACAGTAAATCCTGTAAAGTGATTTGAGACATCCTCCTGACGTGAAAGGCGCTAGATCAAACGGGACTGATTATTTATTTATAATTATTATTATTATTTGTGGAGTCCTGTAGCTCAGTGGTTAGAGCACTCGCTTTGCAAGCGAGAGACCCGAGTTCAATTCCAGGCAGGTCAGGGCGAAACCTTGGGCAAGTTTCCTTACTCCACACGCCTAATAATAATCCCTCCAAAACCAAAAACAATAATAAATTGGGTCATTTTCAATCTATGACTGTTTGTGGGACATTGCTGTGCGCAATTGGCTGCCGCGTTCGCCCACATATATACAGTCAATTCACTTTACAGTGTGTTCTGTGAAGCGCTTTGGGACGTCCTCCCGACGTGAAAAGCGCTATATCAAATGCAAGGATTATTATTATTATTATTATCAAATATAAGGATTATTATTGTATATTATTGTCATCGCTATAGAGGTTCCATCTCTTTCTCCTCTGGGACTTTTTTCAGTGTCTCTTTTACTGCGATAAGACTGAATGACCCCGATTCAAACTCAGCCACAGGCAAACATACAGTGAATGTCAAATCACTGCAGGTTTCACTGAAGGACGTCTGGCGTCTCCTCTTAAACTGACCGGCTTCACTGAGCCTTAAACAAATTGTCCCGATTTACCTTGGGGTCTGTCGTGCACTGGTCAAAGCCACTGGCACACTTCTGCCCCCAAACTGCAGCAGGTGCAGGAGTGAATTTTGCAATCTTTTTTTAAACAGGATTTCTTCTTATAATAATAATCCTATCATTTGATATAGCCCTTTATCACATCAATGAGATGTCTCAAAGTGCTTTACCAAATAGACTGTAAAGTGAATTGACTATATATTTGTGGAAGAAACGCAGCAGCTAATCATGCACAGTAATGTCCCACAAACAATTGTGGATTGAGTCACCATGTTATTATTTATCTAATTATTTCTGAAGGGATTATTACCCCCGAAAAAATGATCCGGCCATCGACTAATAACCAGGTTCCTACTTACTGCTAAGTAAACAGAGGCGTGTGGAGTAACAAAACTTGCCTAACAACAACAACTTGCATTTATATAGCGCCCTTCACGGGGGGTAGCGTTCTGGAGCCTAAGATTTTGCCCTGCCCGGGAATCAAACCCGGGTCCTCTCACTTACGGGTGCTCTAACCACTATGCTACAGGACTCCACATTTCCTACTTAAGCAAAGAAACAAACGGAAACTCCTTTCCGACGCACGCCACCGCAAATCGAGGGGAAAGCCCTCCACCGAAATTCCTCCCAACTCTGAGCGGCCTTGACGCAAGTCTGCGCAGCAAAGCGTTATTTCTTATTTACAAAATCGACTTCGAAAATATTGCAAAATGGCTTTGGTTGAATTTCGCAACACTTCTGGGCAGTGTTAATGAAATGCTATCAATTTGTCTGCTTGCCCTAAATAAGAGACGAAAGCTCATCCCTCTTGAGCTCCCCACATTATATTGGGGAACCCCCCCATTCACTATATCGGGGTTCAATTGTATCCAATTTCAACCCCGCATTTCCTTGATTAAAGCCTAGAGCCTTGTGCACTCTGGGTCAGCCTGGCTCAATTGGTAGCCTTCTTCCCTCTGAGTCTGAAAGTTGTGAGTTCAAACCCCATGTCAGCACTTTGAGCTCACAGTCTACGCTGACAGTCCATTGCAGTGTCGGGGGGAGCACTGCTTTGTCGGAGGCGCTGTCCTTCAGATGAGACGTTAAACGAGGTCCCGTCTGCCTGTTCAGTTGGATGTTAAAGACTCTATTCGAAAAGAGAAGAGTTTCTCCTGGCATCCTGGCCAACAGCTGGTCAAAATTGGCTGTTTATAGGACATTGCTGTGCGTAAAATTGGCTGTCACACATAAACACACCCACAGCCCTCCAACTCCCTGACTCTCTCACACTCACACACACACAGTCACACAAACACACTTGCCCACATACACAATTAACTTCAGAGAAGCATGTCCAGCGCCAATTTTATCCTTGTGTTGATAATGTCTGCACTTCACCACTGTAAACTGTGCTGTGTTCACCCGGGGATCAGTAACAGACAGCAAACAACAGGGGCTTGATACCAAATAGCAGGAGACTGGTAGCAAACAGGCTCCAGCAGGAGACGATGTAAAGAAGGAAATGAAGAGATAGCTATTCATGCAGTTGTCACATTTGAGGGCTTTCCTCTCATTTTCAGCTCTTCAATTATTTCAACAACAACTTGGATTTATATAGCACCCTCCACGCTGGACGGTGTCTCAGAGCACTTTCACATTAATAATAATTATGATAATAATAATAATCCTTGCATTTAGTATAGCACTTTATCACATCGCAAGGACATCACAAAGCGCTTCACAGGATTTACTGTGAAATTGAGTGACTGCGTACTTTGTGGGCAAATGCCCCAGAGGGTATTAAGGTGCCCAATTAAGGTACCCAGTGAACTACCCGACATCTGCGGTGCACAAGGTGCTCAATGGGAGCGAGAAAGCAAATCCTGACCAATACTCTCAGATATGCCAAGGCAGCAGGACAGAGTTGCATAGAGTTACATAAAATAAGGCCATTCAGCCCAACTAGTCCATGCCAGTGTTTAACTCTCCACATCCCACCCCTCCAATTCCCCACTCCCAAACCCCACTCTTCCCTTCTCCCTTGTGTATGCAACAAGTTTCCTCTTAAATACATTGATACTTTTTGCCGGGGTAATAGTCGAGAGGAAAAACTCAACATTTGGCAGACCCGACCTCAGTTAGTAATATAATAATAATCCTTGCATTTGATATAGCGCCTTATCAGATCATGAGACGTCTCAAAGCGATTCGCGGAATTTTACTGTAAAGTGACTGCTTGTGTTTTGTGAGCTCAATTTAGGGGATAAGGGGCATCACTGAAACACACATACACACACAAATACAACAACAACTTGCATTTATATAGTGCCTTTCACACAGAGTAGCTCCTCAGAGCCCTGATATACACAAACAACAAGTTGTATTTATATAGCACCTTTCGTGGCGGAAGAACGTCCCAAGGCACTGAAACACACACGTTATACACACACATATATATTTATTTATACATACACACTCATCGCACGGGCTCTCTCTCACACATGTACTATAATCAAACCTGCACACGCAGAGATACACACTCACCCAACCCCACTCATGTGCACATTCAAACCGTACTGGCACTCGCCAGACACACAATCATATCTGCATGAACACATACATCATACCTCACACACCTCACTGTAATCTGCCGCTTGGCTGCTTTCACTCTGAAATAAAGGCCGCCTGGGTTTGCCGAACAGGCCTGAGTTCATCAGGCTGGCAAGGGCTGACCGCTAAGTCAACGTATCAGTGGGTCTGCAACTGAGACGGAGAACAGCTGTATAAACATCTCACCTACATGGATGAGATACGGTAAAGAGCTAGGTCAACAGAGACAGAACGTCAGGTTTGAGCTGCAGTGCAAATAGTCTCATCTCTTATCAATTTACTACAGTGTCTTACAATCCAGCTACACACGAACCAGATTTAACTGCTCTTCACCAGCACTGGCTAAAGTGATGACAGGCAATGGCTCCATCACCTGAGTGACACGTCTCACTCCAGATATTTACTGAATTGGCTTAAACAGGTCAGTATCAGGACCACTTTAATGAGATGTGATGCTATTGTAAAGTCATTAATTCCCAGACTTCAGAACTATGGCAAATAACAAATCCTTGTCAATTGATAGAGCACCTGATCTTCACAATGTCTCAAAGCACTTCAGAGTATTCCGTAAAGTGTGATAATAATATTCCTTGCATTTATCACGTCAGAAGGACATCTCAAAGTGTTTCACAGGAATTACTGTGAAATAAAGTGACTGTGTATTTGTAGGCAAATGCAGCAGCACAATAGCACACAGCAATGTCCCACAAACAGCCATAAAAGCTATTTTATTTGGGGGCACTGG